TCCCTCTTTTCCTCTCTCCCTCTCGTCCTTCTGATCCAGCCACGCGCCCGCCCGCCAGATAGGCAGCCAAGGCCACATCACCGCACGATGGGCTGCCTACCTCCTGGGCGCCCGCGGCGCACCCAGGAAATGTATGACTTTCATCAAAAAACTAACGATGTTTTAACAAAATACAAGGTAACGGTAGATCTTAGCCTTGTTTTAAGGCGTTACCACTGCTGTTATGTCAAATCGTTGACTTGAAGTCGATTTCGTCGTTCATTTAACGTCATTCGCCTTTTACTTAATGTTAGGCTCCCCTGGAATTCTTAGGGGATAATTCCTTGATTTAACTCAGTTCGCCTTTTTTTTTACAAGATTTGATGGGTGCGCCGCGGTAAAGACAGCTTGGTCTACGGGGTCGAGGTGGAGCAGCAGCTTGAGCTGGTCCTGTCTGAGCTGGGACTGGGTGGGGCTGGCGGGGCTGGCGGGGCTGGCGGGGCTGGCGGGGCTGGCGGGGGCAGGGAGGGCAGTGGGGCGGGGATCGAGCAGCAGCGCGAGGCGGAGCTATGGCGCTAGAATCCGCGAATATGATGATCGTCATCATAATTTTATCAGGTGGTTCCACGCGGCCGGATGCCCCCGCGGTGCTGCGTGGGCGTGGGCGCGCCCCGAAGGCGTGGCCCGGTCGTTGCGCGCGTAGTTAGGGCGCCACGCAAAGTATCGCGTCCGTTTTGGCCGGTCCTTTTGTCTCGGGACTGCGTGATTGGGTGTGGTCAGGACACAGCCCCTTCTCCCCTCCTCCCTCTCCTCCCTCTTCCCTCGATCGTGAAGCCCCCCCGGGTGTGCGAGGTCCACGAGGAGGCTTTGCAATCTGACGGACGGGGCCGGGCCGACCAGGGTGGGGTCTCACCACGCTCATGTACCTCTTGTGTTCCTTTTTACCGGCGTGGGTGGCGTACACTGTCCGCCGATGCTAAATTTTTACGAGAACGCTGAATTTGAAGCCTTCTGTATCGTAGGGCCACCACCAAACAACAAAATTATTAGCACCATGAGTAACTCTAACAGCAAGTGACATACATATCTCTTAAACACACTTTTCTACATTGCAAAACGTTAATTAGCTCAATTCGGCCTGTACCGGGCGTTGCATAAAAGACACAGGTGCGGGCGGGTTTGCCTACCCGCTCTGCCCGCAAGGCGTCATAGCCCCTTCAGGCAAACCCGCCCGCAGCTGTGTCTTTTATGCAACACCCGGTATGACTATGGGCGCAGCTTTCATAAGTTTTGATGTAGGCGTAACTTGTCTGTTCTCCGGTATGTCACATACTGCTCAGTTTTAATTTCATTACTTCTGGCTGCCGGTTTGACGCCGCCGGGGGACTCCCGTGGAGCCGTCGAGGCCGGGGCGTAGGCCAGTGACGCGCCACCCATTGCTTTTCGTAAACGCTCGTGTCGCCTGGCTCGCCTAGAGGCGCCGCTCCCAGAGCCATGAGCCCTCCCGTGGCGGCGCCTCCCATCCGCCCGGCCCAGCCAGGGGGCCGGCCCATAAGCCTCGGCAATGTACGTTTTACTGCTTGTAGATTTAATTTTGAAACGAAAAACAAGCAGAGTAAGAAACACGAGGATATGCCAGTAAGAAGTAGTGGCGCATTTTCCATGTCATAATAATGGCCTCTTTTATTTCTGCTTACTACTATTATCGCATTAATTAACTACTAGAAACGGCCATTTTGACGATGGGTGTATCGTCCGTCCGATGTCCACGTTCGGTGTAAACTGGACGCACCTGCACACGTGCGCTTCCCTCCGGCCGACGCACCCGCCGCATGCATTGATCGTAAGTGCGGCGGGG